TAAAATGTTAATAAATGTTACTAAAATGTTATGATTTTAGAAATTTCTCTGTATTTCAGCTCTGAAATTATACTAAAACAATTATTCGCCTCAGGTTCGGTGAATATTGTCGAATAATCCCCTCGACTTCGTCTCGGGGATTATTCGACGATATTCACCTCGCCTTCGGCAAATAATTGTTAAATATCGATGGTTTCGTTCTTATTCTAGTTTGATGGAATTTGTATGAGCATGCGCAGCTAGGTATTACCCTCAATTAAGTCAATGTGCGGCCCTAATTTTGTTTTAAACTCATTCATGATAGCTCCACCCAGAGCAGCGTGTCATCCAAACCCTTGTCTTAATGGAGGAATGTGCAAAGAAACAGGAGTCAACCAGGATTTTGAATGCATCTGTCCTAACCCTCGGTTCAAGGGGAGGTTTTGCGACGGTAAGAAAAGAAAGTAGAGAAGTAAGAAAGTAGAGTTATAGCAAAGGGTTGAGAAATGTTTCATTGCGAAAACCTCCTTTAAGCAAATTACTAATTTTCTGAGGTTAGGAGGTTAAACTTTAGGATAACATCCAGATTTTTTAATGAAAACGATCAGTTTTCAACAATAGGAGGTATGTAAGCTACTATACTCTTGTTTTCGTTGAAAAAAACGCCTATATCTTTCATATTTTAACTTGTAAAATGTGCTTCAATAACCTGCTAAAGAATCCGCTTGGAAACCGATCAATAAGACGATGCTTCCTATGTTTATTATGCTAAAATTTGGCATAGTTTCTTTTTACTGGTACTTGGTGACCATCAACAAGTTTTAATCCAGGTAAAGCAATGATCACCTAAGGTAAGCTACAATTTAACCAATTGCAGATAAGAAGCCTGGAAAAAAATTCAAGTCACACTTCGACAGTTCAGTCGGACCCGTGCTTCCTAGTTAATAGTTGAACGCTACTACCAACTAAGCTACGAGGCCGCATATTGGGAGCAGGGCGTATTTCAGAGGTTTCTTTCTTCCCTTACCCGATGGAAACTGATCATAGTTTTTTAATTTCCTAACAGTGGACATGTGCGCCGAATGCGATCCTCATGCTCGTTGTATCAACGGAAAGTGTTTCTGCAGGAGAGGATATTCTGGTGATGGGTTTTCGTGTAAAAGAGGTAACTTCGTGCTTTGAAGCATAAAAATGAGAAACTCTAGCGCCTCTATTTCTACCAAAAAATCTAATTATATCATACGAGCGCGTGCAATGTTTCGAAAAAAATATAACTTTCCGCCATTTTAGTGATTTATAATTTTAAGACTAATACTTAGTATTTTTATCCTATTTCAAATCAATTACCAGTCCTTCGTAGATTAGAGAATGAATTATCCTACTTTTTGTATAGTTTCTCTTTCCCTCCCTTCACTGTCAGACAGTTTGAATGCAAACGATTAGGAATAAGAGTGAGTGTGGTTACCTAGGAGAACTTTATTTCATTAATGAAAATCGTAACTACTAAGTACTAAAGTGTCAGTATTGAGTCGATAAAAATAAAAATACTTTTCTGTCATTTTCTTTTTAATTGTAGTGAAACCAAAGTGTCCGCAATATTCCTACACAGTTACCGGCGACATTTGCATTTGCAACCCGGGGTACTATATGAACAATACTGGAAAGCGCCCATGTATCCGTAAGTATTCGTCATGAGTCGCTCAGATAGGGAAGAAAATAGTATTATATTACTATTTCCTAACTCAGTCAAACGTTGCGAAAAGATCAATAACAAATGGACTGATCCATCGGTTTCCCCATTGCTTAAGTTTGATCGCAGGTCAAACAAAGCGAATATTTGATAGCAATTTTGCGTTGAGAAGAAAGGCTTAGGCAGGAGAGGAGCTTGATCATTCTGTTGAAAAGTCGTAGAATCCTCTCTAATTGACATTATTATTCAAGCCGTTCACAGTGCCTGATGGAGACAAAATCGCCCAGAGAGGCGTCTAGATGTAAAAAGGGTATGATTTTTACTTTTGACACCTATCTTTGTCTCAGCGTTTATGCTTGTCAAAGTGAGCCTAAGAAACCCTTTACCACTTTACCCTATTGGTAATTTGTCGTAACAACTAATCCAGAATAGAACAAGGTTTACGGATCTCAGTGATCTAAATATTAAGCTATTTGGGTTGGTTATTTAAACAAAGTTTAGCTGTTGTTTAACAAGATCGCGCTCTAAACCATCTTCAATTTAGCCGAACCTTTTATCTGAATATTTATTACTGAGAACAGTGTCAAGAGGGCCGAAAGTTAACGGTGGAAGGACATTTCTTTTATTAGATCAAACTACTTTTAGAGAATCCCACTACTCGGGTAAAACTGCGGTTTGGTTTAGGTCTCGTGTAAATAACCAGCTTGTGTTTCCCTTATTGTTAGCGATCACGGCGACATCTCGAACTACAATGCAACACGGGACCCAGCTCCAGATACCTCCACCGGCACTTGGTAGTACAGAAACTGGAGGTGGACAACAGTGGTCAGGTAAGGAAGAGAAGTTGTAAGTGGTTCGAAGAAAATTGTAAGCTATTCTGGTTCGACGGAAAGTCTCTCATATCACAGACTGATATGAACGCGTTTTTTACTTCCATCGTGTCATACAATTAAGTTTCACAAACTCCTGGAGTTAACACTAATTTTACCACAAGTTATTTAAACAATACGCAGCAATCACATGCGAACCTAGCCGTATAGCATAACTCGTCAGCGAGTTCCGTCTGACTTAATCGCACAGTAAGTACATCTACCTCGAATCGAGATTGGCGTAATGAGGTACGAATATCTCGAGCTCGTAACTGTTCTTTAACATTCCTCTCATCATTGTAACTCTCATTTCGACAGAAGACATCGTTGTCACAGAATACCGTAGTTTAGGCTGCTGGGCCGACACCACCGAGTGGCGAGATCCATCGAAACGCGCGATGATGGTCATGGAAGGCTTAGATCCGAATCTTGCTGACAATTACCACGAGCGAAAACAGCCGATCAGCAAGTGTGCTGACGTGGCGAAGAGACTGGGTCTTAAAGTGTTTGCCATACAAAACGGAGGCCAATGTTTCGGTGGCGCAGATGATAACAGTTACAAGAGGTATGGAACTTCTGAGAATTGCGGTGACGGAGTTGGTGGATCCTTGGCGAACGACGTGTACAAGCTCTGACTGTTTTAAATTAAAATGTCAGTTATTTTAATAAGACACCTTAGCTTTCAAGCGATGATGCAGCGGACTGAAATTACATCATCCAAAGCATGTGGCACTAAGTAAGAGGCTTTCACAATAGGAAAGGGTCCAATGCAAAAGTAAACAATCACTCTGGGGAAAATTTGAGCTTCTTGACAAGGGTGGTGAATTTTTACGGGTCAAATAAATTTCCTTATGGAATCAACGACGCTTTCTCTCTAAAATGAGAAAGGGAAGTAGTTTTTAAAATTCAAAATCAGGAAATTTTTACAATTCTTTTGCAATCGAGGAAATCGTTATGATGATTCAAAAGATGCAACTATTATTACGAAAAGCACTCTAGTTTCTAAACGGGAAAACGTGAAAAAGTTTTACTTTATCGTCAAACAATTAGGTGTTAACTATTTCGTTTTCTACCCAAAACATTTGCGAGTTTAATGTGTTTCACCTTGAAAGTAGTTGTCGCTTGTGATAGTTCAAAGAAACAAAAAAAGTATTAGTGCAATGATTATGAATAAACAAGTTAAGGTTCATACAACATTGGGCTCATTTCATCAATCTGAATTCACACTGATAAAAGTAACATCTGAAAGGCTAGTGGTATCACCTTGCTCTTACTTTAAGTGTGAGAAAAATAGAAGAGTGGAAAAAAATTAATAACAGGTAAAATCTAAAAAACTATTAAATTAATTTAAAAATCCTCGGTGCCCAACTAGTTTCTGGGAAGCACGGCTTCGAACCCATCGAAGACTAATTTTTTTAACAAAAGTTTTGGGCATTAATCGATTTCCGAAAGTATCATTCATATTTAGTGTTTAACGGAAACGAATAAACTTAAGAACTTCTTCCTATAATCTTTATTGTTGCATTTCTCTCTCTGAATAGCGCAGACACAAACTGGAGGCAACCCATAGAAAAACTAAACTTCTCAATTTCATTAATTATGCATGAGGTAATTAACCAATTGGGTGGTCTCATTTGGGTCCCATGGATACCCCTTGATACCCGGTACAGAACAAATTCAAACACTCGTGATTAGATATCAAAACACACGTGTTAGGAGATCTTAACACGTGTGTTTGGACATCAGTTTGCAAAAGGTACTTGAACATATCTTATTTGAAATTATATTCACTGGAGCGATATATCGGTGATGATGTACTGCGCGCTATACGATATGTCGTTGTCGCGATAATTCGCTGGAACGATTTACCGTTCAAACGAGATATATCGACGACATATCCGAAGAACAATGTGAGATATTTGACGATAGCCCCTTTCATTACTTTTACACAGCATTGTATAAGAAATTTCCCTCTTGTAGATCTGATTAAGGTAGAGCATTAGTCATACAGTCTGATAATACCAAGTTTTGGAATCGGTGTACATGGAAGCGGTACGCAGTGTTTCAATACGGGACGTAGATTCAAGACTAGAATTTCCTCATTCATTTATGGAGTCACAGTGCTAAAGTTACCGGACTGACCCATTTTTGTTATATGGATTCTCAATCTATTACATCTCTCATTTTGGTCGCCATTGGAAAAGGTAGCATCCTCATTCAGGCTGATTCAACTTTTACCTACCCCAGCAGGTTTGTCCACAATGCTTTTCCAAATATTTCAAGTGAAGCATACTGTGCATGTGCGAAGTAAACTTGTACATTCTAAAGTTGTTAAAAGCTAAAAAAATAGCCACCAAAAGGAAGATGCTAACTTTGGATAAATTTGGATCGAGATTACATGAATAGAATGGCTGCACAAACAATTGCGAAAAGAGGGCATCGAAAAATAATTTCAAAATAAATCTGTTTAGTGCATTTTTATGTACTTCCTATCTAGCTTTTCGTATATTTTTACCGCCTTCTAAAAATATTTTATCTCCTTTTCATGAAAATATTTGGCGTAGTGGAGTATCATCACTAAAGCTCTTTCTCTTGGTTTATAGTTCAATTAGACTTATCAGTCTGTTTGTGTTGTAAGTGATATTTATCGTAAATATTATATAACACACAAAATCAAATTTGATATGCTTTCAACAAAACAAAATTGGTATCGTTATAAGATTTCTCATCCCACGGAGGTATCACAATCGTATTTTGGGATATTTATGAACTGCTTTCGACTTAAGCAAAGAACAAATAGAACCCGATATGTGTGTCATAACAACGACTGACTCGAGAAATTTCCATTAAAAAAATTTACCTGCATTAGTATATGACACTTTTAGGGAGTAGCTATTGAAGCAAGGCACGGAACCAGCTCTATTCTCTTCAAAGTTTCTCGAAACCAATCAGAAGTTAGAAGCGTAGCTGCTTAACAGGTTGAACACTTTTATTGACAGATCTTTAATGATATTCAAATAACAACCACCAGGCGCCGAATTGTTTTCGTGTTACCTATATTCTTTGCTTAGAAGACACAATTGTTTGTATTATTAATTGTAGAGTTGTGTTTTCACCGTAACCGGATAAAGATATGTAGTCAAAATATGAGAGTTTTTGGATATTTTGGTACAGTTTTCCTTGTGTACGCTTCACAACTTTTGGCAGCTCTTCTTTGTCAAGCAGATGCTAAATTTGAGGAAAGCAATATAAAATTCGCACAGAGAAATCCAACTTTAAAAAAATATGGCAACAAGTACAATTTAGGAAAGGATTTGAAACATAATAGAATTGTGGGACCCAGGGAGAAAGAGGACAGTTCTGCGGCAAAAAGTAAAGAAGCATCTTCGATTGTGCCCGGTGGACGAATCGTCAGCAAGGGCCATATTAATACTAAAAAGAATGGTCAAACTGGAGATAAGGCGGCTGACAAATTAACGAGGTCATCCACTTTTTCTCATACTCTAGAAGAAGCAAAAGAGTCCGGACGCAAGTCTACTGCTACACCAACAAATGGGAGAAAGGCTACTCACTCTAAAAAGTCCAAACTGTCAAAAAATTTGCTTTCTGAAAAATCAACCAAAACACATGAGAAGGACAACATTGATCAAAAGAAGAAGAAAAAACTATTTAAAAAATATGCTTTAGTTCAATCATTTTCTCCACTTCAGTCTTCTGAAGAGTACCTGCCGATTGCAGCTGGTGGTGGAGACCAAGGATATGGGTCACTGATCGAAAGCGACCAAACAGGGGATGTCCGAGACCAGGGTCAGGCTCAAGAGCAGCAGCAGCAGCAGATAGGCTATTTAAATTCGATGTCCCAGTACGACAGCGCAGGATATCAACAGGGCAGTCAGTCATCCGATACAAATGTCGCGCAGGCTAACAACAATGACGCTGGTCAGATTGAAGGAGGACAACAGCCTTCCAGTCTGGAACAGGCAATTCAGTTACAACAGGAGTCATACACTCAGCACCCTCAAGAGCAGGGACAGGAGGAGCAAGGTACAGAGCTGGTAGGACAAGAAGGCCAAGCGACAGATGGTGGGCAATTACAATACCAGAGCGAACAAACAGGTCAGGAGCAAGAGCAAGGTGGTCAAGAAGGAGTTCAAGAACAAGGAAGAGGTCAAACGGGTTTTGAACAATCGGAGTATCAGCAGGAGCAGGCACCAGACCCTAATGAGCAGCAGTCACATTCGCAAGGACTTGAACAGCAACTACAACAGCAAGCACAGTCACAAGAGTACCAGCCTCAAGCACAAGAGGAACCCCAAGAGTCAGAGGGTGCCCCTGTAGAATCGCAAACCCTCGCAACGTCTTCTAATTCTCTTGGTAACTTATTTAGTTCGGAAGGTCAGCAAACAGCAGAACAAGAAGGGCAGGGAACAGTAAGTTACTCAAGTGAACAGCCTATTGAAGGAGCAGAGAAAGGTGCGCCTCCTGGTATCCAGTACGCTTCTTCTATAGAGGAAGCACTTAAAGAGCCAGCTGAGACTCCTCCGGAAAGTAGTAACGATGGAGGAGAAAATCAGGGTAGCATTGGGGGAACAGACAGTGCGAATGCTATTAACATCGGTGGTGGTTCGGATTCTAAAGAAGAAAACAATGGTTATATAGGAGCAGGAACTGTCACTGCACCGTCCACCTATCAGTCTGCTGCTTTTGATGATAACGGGAATACCCTACAACCAGGAACTTCACCTGATGCTAACGCATACGCTTCAGAAAATGATCAGACCTCAAACAGTGAGGCTACTGGTTTCGACGGAAATCAACCATCACCAAGCGCTTCCCCCCCGGAGGAACAGGGTTCATATGGCCTTGCTGGACAGCAATTTAAGAAACCAGGTCCAGGACCGAAGGTGCCTTCACTTGAAGACGATTTTTATAAGATCATCAACATCGCAAATAAAAATGGTCCCATGGCAGGTAAATATGTCTTAGCGTTTGGTTAGAAAGAAATGAAGAAGCCTCTAAAAATAAGAGTGACCGTTCATTGTCTACAAATGTTCTTTCCATTTTGCGCCCAACGTATAACTTATCAGACCGCATTGAGCTTTTTCTTCCAGAATAGAGATGACGGAGAGCATACAGTGAAACACGGTAGATAGTCTTTTGGGGTCAAAAACTTATGATCAAGAAAGCGTAATTTTCTAATGGCTATAACAAAATAATCTGTGATGTAACTACGTCTAATGCTTTACCTAAGTTCCAAAACATAATTAAAGAAACGTCTGAATTAGAAAACGTCCGTCAGCAATTTTTTTCGCATCTTTACCTGATTACTTCGAAACATATGCACAGTTGTAAAACGAGTTTTCTTTTGTGCATCATGTGCAGTAAAAGGATGTAAAGGATGTCCACCCCATGCCAAGTGCATAGACAAAGTGTGCATAATCAATGATGATCAGCCCCTGGCACATATGCTGAACGCTCTATCAGTTCCGGACCCAGGTATGCATGTCACGTCGTTCAAGCTCACTTTTTCTTTAAATCGGTGAAAAGTTTTGGAAAATTGCAGCAAAAAAAGACGAGTTGTATCAGACAAACTTATTCTTTCCCAAAGTTTTGTCACGCAGACATACTTTGTATTATCACACAGTAGCCTCTATGATGTAAATGGCCAAAATTTGAAATGTTCGGGAACAAAGGTATACTTAAGGTAACATGCAAATAGATTCCTAATATAAAAGCAGTAACCGTTAACACTTAAAACAGTTTTTTCGAAATGTTCTGCCCACTTTGAGCATTTCTGTTGTTGTTGTTGTTATTCTCGTAAAAAGAAAGAAGCATATTACATTGTCTCGGTGTTTCAAGCGAATATTTTGTAGTTTGCAAAAGGTTGTGTTATATTGAGACCCACAATGGAGAATAATTCGACAGAGCTCCTTAAAATGATTTATACCTCACTCCGATTAATCATGGACGCAGAGGCTCATTGTCTATGACTGATAAAGACATAGAAGCATCGTAAAATTTTACATCAAAGCGCACCCTGTAGAAAGATACCTCGCCCTGATTTTTTTCGCAGTGANCGTATGCAGTTTATTTATTTTATTACTTAAAGTGCTACTGAAACGAAATTTTCGTATCTGAAATATTTGCTCTAACCTGTAGTTTTGAATATGCTGATCATCATGAGATAATTTGCTTTGGCCAAAAAGAAGCG